ATCATAGTTAATGAACAGTGGTGGTGGCGGTGTTTGTCCCTATAAAATGTCACCTGACTTCTCCCTTTGCTCCCATTACAGTTATTATGACCACTAATGTGCTTGGACTCGTGAACATGTCAAACATGTTAATTTAGTGTTATGTGCCGTTCGCACCTGTCAGTGAGCGAACGAGAAAGAGGCGGACCCAAGTAGCCGACTTCGATGCAAGCAGTGATTTTATTATGTACAGTGATGATGAGAGTAAAAATACACAGAGGGAAATAGTGCGTAGTCCTGTCGATGAGTAGTATCTGGGTGTTTGACCAACAGCAGGAGGCGAGGAGATGGAGAGCTGGGCCGAGCTGCGTAGGCTGGGTCACTCCTGGGCTGGTCGGTGGTGATGGTGGCTACTGAAGGTAGAGACAGAGAGATGAAGGCAATAGTGGAACAGATAGGCGACTGTGCATGGACCTGCCTGGGAGGAGAGAGTGGAGCCACGGTCCGGAGGAACAGTCCATGGGGAGAACACTAGTGATGGCCATACGAGGCCCCATGAAGCTTTGAACCCTTTTGGACCATTGTATTGAAAATTGGTTCACTACTGGAAGCTTCATTCAATGAGCACGTGGGTGACATCTGCTGGCACAGTGGTTGTTGTGCAGCCTTGCAAAGGTGACACTGATGCACCAAGTGTGTGACCATTTCCATGATGGCTCCATAGCGAGTCAATCCAAAATGTGTTGACAAGATGTAGGAGAGAGTGCTGTTTCATCCATCTTAAATACATCTGTATTGCCCCAATGTTTCAAAGCTCCGCCTGTCGAACCAAACCAGTCAGCTGATTCAATCTGAATGAAGCAGAAGTGGTTCGAACGTCATCAGTCACGTGGTTTTTCCTGATTTGAAGCAAGCTCCGGCACAGTGCTTCAGAAAAATATCCTTCCGAGTTTGAAGCAAGCTTCGGAGCCTCGGTATCAGAGGGAACATCACATAGTGAGCAACCTAATCAAGTGCAGCTGGTGATAAGGGAGTGAGGAACAGGTGAACGTGATTAGTGTAAATGGGCAAGAGACAGTAGGAAAGGTGAGGGAGGCAGAGCGGCCAAGCAAACCTGACATTTAGGGCATTGCTGCAAAAACGGATGCTGTCTCACACAACCACTAGATGTCACTTAACAATAAAATATACTGTAGAGTAGCTGCTTGCACAAATGGGGTTGTTTTTATGAGTGGACAGTCCGTTAAAATTAGGTTTTTATTATAGGCTTGATTTTCTTTGAAAGTCAGGAAAAGGCTGGTTCTGCAACCTTCTTACCAGTTCTGGATGACTCTTTGCAAACTTATTTCACAGAGCTCATCTTCCAGTTACAATCTTAGATCACAAGATACATGCCTTATCTGCTGTCTGTCCTCAGTGTTCCAACAGAGATATGAAATGTTTTCTGCTCCAGCCACTTTGAATAGTTTCCAAGGGAAATCAAATGAACAAATTCAGTATGACTGGCAAAATTCAAGACAAACCTAACTTTATCTGCAAACAACAGTCTGAGATACCTCAAGATAGTGTGTACATTTCTATTATTACACTGAACCAAATGGTATAGTTACAGGCAGCAAGGGGATTAATTTCACAAAGTAGTTCAAATATGATTTCATTTTGCTTACAGTAAATAAGGTATATATATGCGCAGCGGCTATTTTTGTGCTTTTAAAGTTAATACTTTTATTAGGGTTAAGGGTTAACAGTGGATCACAAGGTTACAAGACTGCTTCAATTAAATTTCAAAGAGCTTATTTGCCCCGGTTGGGCTCTGGTCAGTTTGTGACCAGGGAAATTAGGTTTCTATTACAAAGAAGAGCAGAGCTAGAAATGAACAGCGAGAATGAGGGAGAGAAATGAGTTTCATTTGGAATCAGAAATGAGTTCAGAAAATCCAAACTGAGTTTAAAACTGAGGAGGAAGAGATGCGTCAGCAGCTGATGGGCTCAATGCAAAGTGAAAGGAACTAATCATGACCATAGTTTTGGGTTCTGGTATTGTGATATTGTTGCTACTGCTGTTATTAATTACATATGTTTCAGATAGATGTGTTTTTCCTATTCTAGTGCCCAACTTTCTTTCCTCTCTTTAGTCTCTCTTCTACAAAATATTAGAACCTACATTAATCCTGTTAAGAGCTTAAAATGAAAAAGTGAACAGACTTTTTGCACATACATTGTTTTTCAATTTTTTGTCTTTATCTCTCAGTTTAAAGCAAAAATAAGTCTTATAAACAAAATTTAGTCATTACTTTTCACAAAAATCTGTGAGAGAGAGAGAGAGAAAGATGACAGGCTAGTAAAAGAGAGAAATGACACGTGATTATTAAAATAAAACAAACATTTTATACAAAAAAAGAAGAAAGCAAAAAATAAAATCTTGTTAGTAGGAAAGAGAGAGAGAGAGAACTGCAGCGAGAGATTTCAAGATTTAATCAACCAGTCAAAATTGATTTATATAGCAAGTTTAAAAACAATTACACTAGAGTTACACTAAAGTGCTTCACAGAAATGACCGTAGCAGCACATAAATAAAACGATAATGGAACAATAATAAATCATACAAGGCTCCCCACTTGCATGCCATTCCTTTCAGTTTGTCCTGTTATTAAATCACTAAACAGATTTGCATTGACACTGAAGACAGTTTAATCACATACAGTAACAATCACTGTGATTGTACATGCGTGATAATAACAGTGGCCCCTGAACCTGCACTAACTGTTAGAGGAAGGGTTTTCATGATAGCACTTTGGCTTCTTTAAACTGTTAACGGTACTTTTTATGATGTCATTATTTTTTAAATAGTGTTTTACCTGTAAAAGGCTGGAAGCTAATTTGTGATCTGGGCACTGATTTGTGCACATTAAGTGTGTATAACACTCTTACATTTCGCTTTTCACTCTTGTTAAATTCACTCTCATACTTTTATTTTTGAGTCCAAGCTCACACGTTCGGCCCACATTGTTATAAGTACTGTTGTTCCTCTGGAGCAGCCTTCTTGCTGACATCAGACAGTCTGAATCAGTGGAGGCATTTAAATCTAAGCTTAAAACTCATCTCTAGACTATAACTTTTACTGAGAAGTTTATTCTTTGACTTCTTCAGGTCATTCTCTTGTCACTGGGTCGGTCTCAGTGTCAGTGAATATATTAAACTTAGTATGTACATTATACAGTAGTCCATGTTGTCCTGCTGATGAAATTACCGGGAATGTTTTGGAAACCTCTGGATCTTTGTTAGCCTTTGGTTGTTCTCTCAAGCACATGAGCATGTAGAAAAGAGGCACACAGACACCACGGAAACACACACAGACTATAGACATATTATACACATGCCAAGTACAACCACTTTGACTGGAGAAGAGTTACATGGCCCACATGATTTGTTTCTAGGCTACAGACACATTCACATGACTACACATACAGTAGCAACTTGTTTTGCCTGTGTGCTTTGTACTGTATGTACATAAGCGTAAGACAGTTAGACAATATCAGAGGGTCTCATGTGTGTACGTATGTGTGCACATACGTTGTATGAATTAATAAGTGTGTGTAGAATACAGGGCCTATGAGATTGCCTTTGTTTCTCTCCAATGCTGCAGTATTTGTGTTAAAGTTAAACAGTGCAGACAGGAGCACGTCACCTCCTCCATCATCTGAGAGCACAAACACAGATGTCAGCTAAATCATTACTATTAACGTCAACAAGAACCCTGTTGTAAAAAAAAATAAAAAAAATCACTGTTGGACTTTTATCTGATATTATACATTTACTTTCAATTAGAGATACCAATCTTTAAAAAAGACAAATATGGAAATATTAAATCTATCTTTCCCCAAGTCCATTACTGTTTCAATGTGTCAGATGCGTCTAGGCTAAAAAAAAAACAACTTCATTCTGTGGACAAAGGACTTAAGATGACAGCAACATGTGCTTTACGTTCAAGCTAACAAGGATTTTGCAAGAACAGGTGTCCGGTTTTTACTGAGGGCATTTTAAAGGCAATAAAGTGGATAATAGTTAGAAAAGTACCTGAGATCCATACAGTAAATACAACGCAGGGGATAATTATAGTTAAACAAATGTGAAAATTGCGTAAATTACTGAGGATCCATTATATGGGCTACAGTAGGGAGCAGTGAATGAGTGCATCAAGGGATGATTTCAGACAAAGCCCCTAGTAGTTTAATGCATTAGCATGTGAACATTTGTTAAATAGCACTAAAAAGAAAGTACAACAAAGGTTAGTGGAATTGTCGTTATTTTTGCGAGTGATAATTGAAAGGTATTAAGTGACAAATGTGAACTCTATATAACATTTCATGGCGGCTCATCTAGTAGTTGTTGAGGTATTTCAGTTTGGACTAAAGTGCTGGACCAACAGCCTGACATTGCTGGAGCCACCCTTCTACTTAAGACAGAGTTTGAACACATTCTCACTCTCAGCCCCTCTGTTCATGCTGTGACTCCTACTGTAGTACTGTCTGTGCTTATTTCTTAATCCACCTGAACTGTACAGGCCTATAGTGTAAGGAAGTTCAAAAACTATGTATACCTTTTCAAAAATAGCCAAAATCTCTGTACCCTCTGAAACTGTATGTTTAAAACATGTTAAATCATATTTCATAATAGACAAAAAAGCATATGGCACAGCTCAGTGTTCCTTTTATGAGAATAAAATAAAATTACATATTATTTCAGCAGCTGGATCTTGTAACTAGAAGGAGTCATACCCACAGTCAGAACGTCAGCCCATAGGTAGGTTTAACTTCTGTTTGGTGCCTAATCACTGGGGCGGTATTGAGCAAATTGACTGTGAGTTGCTGAAGTTAACTTTTGTACATTTTGGACCTGGTGACCAAAGCTTAAATCAAGAAATGAAACTCATTTTTGAGTTTATCAGAATCA